ACAACAGTGTCCTTCATCAAATGACTGACTTCCTAACTGCCTTGTTGTTTAGTAAAGAAGAAGGTTTGAAAGCTTTGAGCCTATCGAAATCCATTGTGAGTATGAGCAGGTGAATGATTTGACCAGCCATTGGCTAGATTAGTGGGACGATGCTTCATTCTAGATCTAGCCAGCTAGCTAGCTAAATGCCTATATTCCGAGAGAGTGTAATTTAACCAAAGGTGCTATAGTTTAAAGTATGCAATTGACCTCTCACAGTCATTGTATGCTTTCTCGTCAATTGTAATTTTCTGTCTTCTTAATTCAATATGTTTGCTAGCTAAAAGGACAAATTTATCTCCTATTTAGTTGTCAGGCTAACTCCAGTCAGCCCTTTCTACTTAGCTAGCTACCTAGCCAGCCAGCTAGCTAGCCAAATAGCTAACATGGATTGACATTATATTATTTTAACTGTCATAAAATAAGGACATTGTATGCATGACTCATAGGTGTTAAGCATATTTCTAATAGCAGTTAATGTATATTTTTTTTTTTTTTTTATTTGTTGACATCATACGATCCTCTACTGAGTCAGTTATAGTGGGGGTAGAAAGTGACTGAAAAAGTCAGATCAACATTTATGTGTATGGATGGTATAGAGGGGCTCGACTTCAATCACATTGAATCTACATTGAAAAAATGCGTAGGCGTATGTATGTATAAGTTAAGGAGACTATCAACACATCATACAGTATAAGCAGATTTACCAATGACAACAAATGTTCTCACGTCACATGAATTAAAAGGCCGTTCTGAATAGAAGACATTGTGGTCAGTAATTTCAGCCCCAGCCCAGCCCAGGCCCAGCCTCAGCCCCAACGCCAACGCCAACACCACACCAGCTTCTTACAGTTAGAAAATATAATATTTACACAATTTAAAACAACAACCAGTTATTTGACGGACATATTTTATTTTTGACATAGAAAGGTTGATTAGACATGGGATGAAGAAGAAGTTGTATTATTGTATGACAGATAACTTGAGCGCATTGACACTACAAAATATTGTAGAGTGCCAGACTAGTTAGTCATAATAAATTCAAACAATGTCCCTGGGGAAGAAGAATTGGCAGCTTAGTTTGAGGTTGTAGAATGTGTCAGGTGAATAATATCTGATAGACACAGTGGAAGAATGCAGCGTTAGTCAGGAGACAGTAGGATTCCTCTGAGTAGTCGTCCATCATGAAATAGTTAAAATGTGGACAACAAAGCAAATATAGTGATACACGGTGAAAAGAGATAATTTAATAATTCCATTGTAGCATTACGAACACAATATCCAACGAAGAGACTCTTTTCCACAACGAATTTATTATCAAGCTGTACAGTCCTATATATATAATATGGTTTTCAAGAAGTTATATCCGGTGAGGGAGGGAATTAGATGAAAGGTGTGAATAAGTGAAATAACAATAATAATAATAATAGTAGTAGTATGAAATGCAATCAAAATATTTTTGATTATAATCATAGTTAAATGTTAAGTAGCCAAACAATCAATGTCATATATAGACAGAATATTGCATAAGATGTATAGATGTTGGAAAGGAGTGAATAATTATAGGATTAGTAGGCGATTTGTAGGATCACAAATCATCAAATCTTCTGAATGAAGTCAGAAGGACTTACTAAGTGTGCCAAAACCATGTGAAGCAGGATCATTATTTATTTACTTTCCACCAGTAGTTTCCTAGAATATTTTCCACATATTTGAAGAGATTCTGAATGGTAAGGATTTTCAGTCTGTGTATGTACAACTCGAACAAATTGTTCAGTCGTTTTATGCTAGCGTTATCTTCCACTTTACATAACCTTTTCTCTCGGTGAAGCTTCTTAAGTTGAAAAAAAGGAAGAACTTCCACATTTTACGAGGAGTGTTCTTTTTTTGGTGGCAAACATCCAGACAGAATTTAAGATTACATGTTATATTTGTGATATTACCATCTAGTTCTTGTTCACTAAAAGAGTCGTAGTCTTTATCTTTTAAAATGTTTCTAAGAGTCTGTGTATTTTCCTGAGAGTAACATCTATGTTAAGTAACAGTGAATCAATACAATCGATAGATTACAATTCAGAATCAAATGCAAGTGATAATATGCATCTAAATGTCCGGTAAATCGAAGAAAATGATACGGAAGTTATGAATTTATAGGTTCTACAAGTAGCCAGCCAAAGTAGAAGTAGTGACTTGACCTGTTTTGTTTAAACGCATAGCTCCGGTTTTTATACGCGAATTGCAGTAACCTCTGCTCTTTAGAATGTTCTTTAGCTAGAGAGTTTCTGCGATTTACTTCTTGTCTCATAGATGATAGAAGAAGATTCTTCAGTGTGCTGCCTTTATGGCCTGTTTTGACCTGTTGATGGTTCTTAGTACAACTTCATTTCATCATCATCGGAAAGGATATTCTCTGTTCACTAGTGTGGTGAGAGCAGGCCGTGAGAAAATATGTACAAGGCTGAGTCAACAACCAATCACAGCAAAGTTAACGTGGCAAAATATGATTCGCAGATAGAGAACTCTATTTGTCGAGGAATCCCTAAACAACCAATCCGAAGCCTGCGTTTGTCTGCCTTACTTCTGATAAACAACCAATCAGATGACTGCGCTTGTCTACCTGCATAAGCTTGATAATAAATTCGTTGTGGAAAAGAGTCTCTTCGTTGGATATTGTGTTCGTAATGCTACAATGGAAATTATTAAATTATCTCTTTTCACCGTGTATCACTATATTTGCTTTGTTGTCCACATTTTAACTATTTCATGATGGACGACTACTCAGAGGAATCCTACTATCTCCTGACTAACGCTGCATTCTTCCACTGTGTATCAGATATTATTCACCTGACACATTCTACAACCTCAAACTAAGCTGCCAATTCTTCTTCCCCAGGACATTGTTTGAATTTATTATGACTAACTAGTCTGGCACTCTACAATATTTTGTAGTGTCAATGCGCTCAAGTTATCTGTCATACAATAATACAACTTCTTCTCATCCCATGTCTAATCAACCTTTCTATGTCAAAAATAAAATATGTCCGTCAAATAACTGGCTGTTGTTTTAATTGTGTAAATATTATATTTTCTAACTGTAAGAAGCTGGTGTGGTGTTGGCGTTGGCGTTGGGGCTGAGGCTGGGCCTGGGGCTGGGGCTGGGGCTGAAATTACTGACCACAATGTCTTCTATTCAGAACGGCCTTTTAATTCATGTGACGTGAGAACATTTGTTGTCATTGGTAAATCTGCTTATACTGTATGATGTGTTGATAGTCTCCTTAACTTATACATACATACGCCTACGCATTTTTTCAATGTAGATTCAATGTGATTGAAGTCGAGCCCCTCTATACCATCCATACACATAAATGTTGATCTGACTTTTTCAGTCACTTTCTACCCCCCACTATAACTGACTCAGTAGAGGATCGTATGATGTCAACAAATAAAAAAAAAAAAATATACATTAGCTGCTATTAGAAATATGCTTAACACCTATGAGTCATGCATACAATGTCCTTATTTTATGACAGTTAAAATAATATAATGTCAATCCATGTTAGCTATTTGGCTAGCTAGCTGGCTGGCTAGGTAGCTAGCTAAGTAGAAAGGGCTGACTGGAGTTAGCCTGACAACTAAATAGGAGATAAATTTGTCCTTTTAGCTAGCAAACATATTGAATTAAGAAGACAGAAAATTACAATTGACGAGAAAGCATACAATGACTGTGAGGTCAATTGCATACTTTAAACTAGCACCTTTGGTTAAATTACACTCTCTCGGAATATAGGCATTTAGCTAGCTAGCTGGCTAGATCTAGAATGAAGCATCGTCCCACTAATCTAGCCAATGGCTGGTCAAATCATTCACCTGCTCATACTCACAATGGATTTCGATAGGCTCAAAGCTTTCAAACCTTCTTCTTTACTAAACAACAAGGCAGTTAGGAAGTCAGTCATTTGATGAAGGACACTGTTGTGATGATGACGATGATGATAATTGTGACCATCAAGCAAGAGAACTAATTGATGAACACGATTAAGCGACGTCATTGTATTTCGTTGAATCTTTCCAACTAACTGTATACGACAGTTTATGGTTGAAGGAAATACCGAAATAGCGATGATGATAATTAAACTATGTACTACTGATTAATTGACATGAATAGTTGCACACCATTCACACACACACACACATCACCATCGCTACTGGAACTTCAAGCAAAGCTTGGAGCCGGTATGTACCATTCAGAACACTACAGGAGCAAAAATAAAATATATGAATATGCATATATATTCATTTAATAATTTGCTAGCCAATCACCTCATCATCAAAGTTATCTAAACGCTGAAGGTGGTTTTGCTTGTTTGAAGCCAACAAACTCATCAGCTGTGTACGCGGTGTGGAATGAAGCTAAAATTAATAGGAATCCGTGGTGTTAATCTTGTCTTCTTTTGTTGTTACGTCTTTTAGTCTCCAGTCGGGTCTAAATGAAGTGATTATGTTGATTTGTGTGCAGTATCTATTCTGAATAGTATTAGCATTCTATTAGTCAGTTTAGAGGCATTCTTCGCTTTTACCTGTGGAGATGAATTTCCTTGTGGTTTCTGAGGCTGGTTTCCTGTTGGCAGTTTGATTCGAGTCTAGATATTTTCTGATGATGTATTATATGGGAATCCGTCTTTCAGAAACACAGTTAATGAAATCCTGAAGGATACGTTTTAACACTTCTAAATAAATGTTTATTATACACAGACAGTTTCCTTTGTGTTCTTTTTTATTTAAGTGTTTAATCTCTGTGATGACTTGATTTCCTGCATACTTGTGTTTCATAGATTTCCTATATTTCTTCTCTTGACTAATTTTGTTATCTCATTCTTCTTCCTATCTCTTCAAACACTTTGTGGATGAATTTGTATGGATGAATTTTATATATATATATATATATATATTCGACTTACTTTGTAAGCAAACATCTCTTTAGCGTGTTCATACGATAACAAGCCTTTACGATCTGATAAATTGTTCTCTTGAATTTGCTGGAATTCATCTAGATAATCTTTTTCAGAGTTTTGCGTACTGATGCATAGTTTCTCTTTTTCATTGAAGTTGATGTCTATTAACGCCTTCTTCATACTGTTACAATTGTTATTATTATTATTTGTTATAGTGTTTGAATTCGATGGATCCGTTTTCTTTGGAATACCCACTTCAAGATCGCACTGATTGACTGACTCATTAAAACACTGTTGGTACCAGTTTTCAAACTCTAAAAAGATTAAGTGAAATCAAATCAAACTTTAAAAAATCTATAACAATAAGAACAATGAAAAAAATATTTTTTCGGCTAATAGAGATCCATTCAGAGAACTGGTAGTTACTAAAATCAATCTTCACGTGAATTCAAAATTTCTAAAGACAGTGAACGCCTCGGGCATTCATAAATTCAAGACAGACTTTTGTGTCTGAAAAATGTATAAATGTACAATGCGTGTTTCTACCCTAGTCAGAGTGGAATAAACACTTATTTATTTTTCGTTTTGTTTATTTAATTTATTTAATCTATGTACCTTTCTCTTATCATTACGACTATAATAATAATTATTATTATGTCTTTTAATTCGAACAGTTTTTGGTCTAATTTCACTTATCCCTATTTATTATTTGAATTCAGTACATGTATATTTCGCAATGTTAAATTCTTTCATATAAAAGTCCACACCGTTTTTCATAATGTTTTGATTGCCTTCTAACCGTGTTAATTTTACAACCCTTTACGAGATCTATAAACTAGGTGAACTAATTTTTTTTTTTTTGATTTTTGATTATAGCTTGATTCCACACTGTATTTTTGGTACAAGTATGGAATTTTCAGCATATCATATCGGTGGCCCAAATTTTGCGGGCCGACCATTGATATCAGGTGTGCGTCGGCAGGGGATAGAACCCTGGACCATGTGCATGGTCGGCGAGAGTCCTAACCACTGTGCTACGAAGCACATTTGTGTATCACAAAACCTATTTTGTTGTTACTTGTTACTGAACTGTGATCATTATTATTATTATTGTTCATTTGGGTTCCGAGTGGAATATAGGGATTCAACAACAACACATGTCCACTGTGCTCTGTTTTCTCCTGTCCTCTTTAGCTGAACCCATGATTGCCCAAACTCTTTCATCCCCTCCAACACCCACAATCTCCTACATGTCTACCTCACACCGACGAACCACTCTTCGCTTCCTATTTAAATTCCATTCAAGAATGTGACGCGTGCCATGTCATTCGATGGCCTCCTCAATGTAGTCCCAGTCCATCACCATTATCTCCTACATATTTGTTAAGCGATCAGCGCCTGGTGAGTTAATCCCTGGCTAGCCAGAGTTTCATGTTGCTAACTCTTTCTGGTTGGCCATTGGATCTTCAGTATTCAGTCAGCGAAGTATATCTGTTCATAAAAGCCTGTAGTATCCTGTTGGAATTGCTTTTCGTGACGCTCTGGTCAAGAATCAGTGACTTATTTCACATTTGTTTTTGAAAATCTGAATCTTGTAGTTACTGCTGAGTGAGTGAAGAAGATTTGCAAATTATGATTTCAGACTTTCCGATTCTGGCTGGCTGTCTGACCGTTCCACTGGCTATAGTCGAAACTATGCTTCCTAGATAGATAAGTGGAAGGGGAAGTGACCTCTTTCAAGTTTCTCCCGTTGATGGTGGTTGGTGCTGGTTGTAATTGTTGTTGGTGTTGTTTGGTTATCTTCATCACCTCTGTCTTCTTTGTGTTCACTTGGAGTCCTGTCTTCTGAGACTGCCTCTTCAGTCAGTCAGTTTGTTGCTTTTCATCTGTAAGTCTTCGAGTTTGTATGACATTCGACATATATATCATCCATGGGCGAAATCCAGATCTTCTCGAGTCTTGTCATCGGTGAGTGCAACGTATTTCTGTCTTCTGACTGCCATGCCCAGTCTTCTGCGTAATCCAGTCCACCATAATTAGGAATATCATTGTAGGTGATAACAGGCGGCCAGCTTGTCTTACTCCTGCATTCATTCACTTCAAACGTCTCGTTGTGTTTTCCAAACTATGATTAGAATCACAAAAATTCAGTCGCATTTCACATTATTTATTATTATTATTATTATCATTATGAGAAGCATTCACATGGAATAATTTCACGTCGCTCACTGGAAATAGTTTATCTAAAAAAGATCATATGTATACGGTTATACAGTTTGATAATAAATTTATTCAGAAGAATCTCTCCGTTGAACATTTTCTACCTAATTTCACAACGGGAATTATTTAACTATGAATATATTTATGGGGTAATAAAACCTGTCGCATAACTCGAAAGAGGTCGACTTCTAGGTTAATGAAACGATTGATATTCAAACGAATTTAATAGCCAATCATGATAAAGAACATGAAATCCCTCCAAACGTCATTATACACCTTTCTGACAAGCACGAAACCTACATTTGGAGCTCTTTGGCAATTGTCTTCAACGATCTAATAACACTAAAAGTCACAATGAACTGTGATATCGAGCCACCTGAAATGGTGGCCACATTCCAAACTTGACTAGTGGAATTCATTCTCTACCAAAAAGCAAAGGACTAGACACATGACGGTAGTTACTGCCTAGTGTCCAGTTAAAGATAGTTATATCCTTCACGAAGAATTCAAAAAACAAGCTGACTTCTTAGTAAAGTATGCTGTCTAGCAATGTTGTCTAGAAGGAGAACCATGAAAGCTGACTCACAATTAAACCACAACTCAAATCATAGAACACAAGCACAACAAAATTGTGACTTAGTATGTTTTTAGTATTCAGAAATTTATAAAAGGAAGCTGAGAGCCAAACACACACAAGTTCAGTAAAGAACGTGCAAAAGACATGGCTGTCGTAGTCATAACACCTTAGCGTTTGAAATGGTACATGCAGAGGATTCCAGTTTCAGTGGAGACATCATCGCTTACTCAGTGGACTAGCGTGAATATACTATCAGCTGATAAGTCTCAAAAGGATGAAAAGCACGTGGGTGGGGATTTCAGTGCTAGCAGCTAACATCAACCAACAAAATATAGTTTGCTAACTTATAGATGGTATTGACTAAACCAAATCCTATGCAACAGCTATTCGTCTGAGTGTTATTCAGCTGTTGGATATCACTGAATTCAATCCTGCTGTGACTCAGACTCTTGTTTCGTCTTATTTCAACCATCATTAACTTAATCCTACCAGTTCATGGGGAGGAAAAATAATTATTCACAAGTGAAAGTGTGCCTTTCGACAAAGTCCTCTCATTCGCGAACAGAAGGTTTTATCCTTACAACAGTTTTATTGCATCGACAATGAATTTCATCCCGTGAAGATAGGTATCCCGGAAGATTTAAATTTTGCAGGTGGTGTGTATGTGTGTTATTTCGTAGAAACTCGAAAATCTACATACGAAAACTAAAAAGTTATCAGAAGTGATGTGCAGTAAAGACAGGACTTCATGTGAACACTGAAAAGAAAGGGATGATGGAGATATATAACCCACCCAGCATCATTCGCAGAAATCTAAAGGGGTTCCTACCTTAAATATAAGAGGAGAACTTGGTCACTGTGGTAGGGTATAATTTCACTACACAGAGAGTTTATTCAACAAAGTTTCAGTGTTATACAGTAATATTTTTTGATGACACTTCCAACACAGTTTATTATATCATCAGACAGGCCTTCGATTAGATACTAAACAGGAGGTGACCAACTGGGCGTGGCAACATAGGTGACATGCAGGTAATGATGTTGTGGGGAAATGAAAGCTTAAGAGCAATTATGGAGGGAAATAAAACAAACCGCAGACGACAAGGTGAATTGAAGATTCCCCCCCCGTCTGAAACCTATGTTACATTCAGGATCCCACGGACGAATAAATAAATAACTAAATAAAATACACATGATATAGACAGTCGTTGAAAAGCACAGAAAAAGAGAACTCTGGAAATCTCTTTCGCATCTTTACTCACAACTCCAATGCAGTGTTTATGCATGACTCTGTACGAGAGAGATAATGCATAACCTTGTAATCTAAACGTGAGCATATTGCCATTGTCACAGATAGTAGACTTCATGAAATCGGATGAATTGGCAAGATATTCATATATATATATATATATATATATTCCACACCACTATAAAGTGCCATGTGGATTGAAGACAGATATTTTCAAAACTTTAATATGAAAGAGATAGATATTCAGTGACTCTGTTTGGTCTCCATTCAGGCCAGCTCTCTAGACTGTTTCAATTTCATAACAAATTCCAAACATGTTTTTATCAGATTTGAATTTATTATATTTTCATCATATTTCAATCGAAACATGATTATTGCATTTAATGATAATATTAATAATCTTTCGGTAGCATAAATTTAAAAATGAAAAAGTCTCTGTTTAAATGTTTAAAACAAAAATAAGCAACAAAAATCAAATTCCATGTTTGAAAACCTGTAAAGATTTATGTTTACTGACTGAGTTTTATTCACCCGATATATGTATATAAAGTAATTCAGTGTTAGTGCGTCACGAAAGGTATTTCTAAAAGGCTGGCAGACTTTTTACTAACTTCTGCCTTCACTGCATACTGAAGATCAGATGGCTAGCTGGGGTCTCTGTCATGGGACTTGCCAAGAACCTGTCAACCAAAGGAAATGAAAGTGGACTCGACATGCATTCAGGAGACCGTTGGACATGGGTCTAAGGATATGAAGTCGAAAAGATTACGCGAAGGACAGGAAACAGAAGCTTGTAGGCAATCGTGGAGCTAGTTGAAAGTAATGCCAGATCACCAGGTAGAATGGAAGTGTTCCGGCAAAGCCATGTATCCCACTTGGAATATAAAGGAGGAACAGTAATAATAATAATATCAGCGTTTTCAGCATTCAGGCTATTAAATAGGCGCAAAATCTATCACACAGAGATTAGTCGTCCTGAACTAGTAAAACACATTCAAAAACAGCGCAGAGCAAAATAACTAAAAACTGACAGGATGATTTTAGCATGAGACTATAAGAGTAAGTAACTGAATAATGACCTTTAGCAGAAATAGATTCTACAAAGTTTTAATAAGTGAATGCGGCTGTGTTGATAAGATGCATTTTCGCGGCTGTCACATTTAACATTGATAACCATCATAGTCGGGTAGATTACGTCTCCAAAACTTTGCTTATACTGACATAGTTGCGTTCTCTGAACTAGATGATTCAAATGCGAACCGTTCATTGTCTTTTTTAGACGACGTCCCTAGTTTGGAGTTACCTTTTCGAGCTCTCCACGAGTTCATCAAACACCTCTCTTGGTAACCTTGATCATGACTGTTTGTTTCTGTATATTTTATCACGCTTCAGTCCACTTGCTATTGATTGTCTTGCTGACCTGAAAGTCTACCTTTTCTTTGTGTGATTTCCTTTTTATTGATTCATAAGTTTTCTCTATGTCAATATGTCTGTTGATGGCAGATTAGTTTACGTGCCAGGCTTCTAGAATCTCTCTAGAAGTTTTGCTGATTTTTCTTCTTATAGAATTTCTACATTCACCCAGTCTAATTGGTGTCTCTAGTTGTCTAAATGCACTGATGTGTAGGAATGGATATTGCTTTTTTTGACTGCCAGGTTATGTACGTTCGTGCGAAGATGAAAAGGGCATCCACTCTAACCAGTATGATGTTCCTTATATGCGTTGCAGTTTACCATCTCTTGTCTTTTTATGTGCTGAGACTTTCGACTGACATAGTTAATAGATCGGGGTGGTTTTGATGGTTATTGCCTGACATCTATCCCAGAAGGTTTCACTAGTCTTGAAGTGATTTTAAAACTGTTCACCGTGCATGGATGGAGGACTTTTCTTTGTCATTTTATTGGATACATCATAGTTGGTGATATGTATCCACATATATATATATATATATATATATATATATATATATTTAGGTGTGTGTATGCATGTTGGTCTCTCTTTCTGTTTGCTCGCTTAGTCTGTGACCATTTCACTTGTGTGAACTTGTCTCCTTTATTAATGTGTATTCTCCTTATATTATATTATATATAATATGAGTGTTTGTTGACAGTCCGTTGCTTAGTGACATATATCCATATATGGTTGTTTGACATGTCTGCTATATATATTTTGTATATATATATATATATTTCGTTCACACATTCTGTGTGAACTACTTTACTTACTTACCACTTTGGTGTGAGACCATTTATTTTCGTCTCCTTGTGTTTGGACAATAGAAGTATCATCGCAAACCTAGTGGTCTTCTGATTTCCGCCTTCTCGCGTCAGGACTATTAGTTTCTCGACCAGTCCATAACAATAATTTAGCGACGAGTACATAACAATTTGGCGACGGGGAAAACTACTATTAACCACTCAGCAGCAGCAACATAACAATTTACTATGGATTATTCTAAATTGGAATTATTGTTTGAACAACAATTGAAATTAATGGAAATGTTCGTCAACCAACAGACTGGTCCAGCTTCACCTTCAAGCAATCCCAATCATACCATGCTACCATCTGTCGACGGCATTGTGAACAGTATTTCACAGTTCAATTATGACCCAGAGGCTAATGTCACTTTTGACACATGGTATCAACGTTATGAGGATTTATTCACTGTTGATCTCGCCTCACAAGACGATGCCTGGAAGGTGCGAGTGTTGTTACGTAAATTGGGTCCGGCAGAATATGAACGGTACTGCAACCTAATTTTACCCAGAAACCACGTGACAAGTGTTTCGATGATACAATAAAGCTGCTGCGTGAACATTTTGGAGACCACTCCTCATTATTCAGCATACGTTATCGTTGCCTCAAGCTGACAATGAATGAAAATGATGATTTTCTTACTCACGTTGGCACAGTCAACCGAGAATGTGAGAGATTTCGACTCAGGTCCTTAACAGATGATCAATTCAAAGCCTTGATTCTCATATGCAGTCTCCAATCTCCTCGTTTCACAGATATCCGAACTCGACTGCTCAATCAGCTAGAACAAAATCCCAAGTTAACATTACATGACATAGCTGATGAATATCAACGGCTGATTAATCTGCAGAAAGACACACACCTGGTCGAATCAACACCTTCGAGAAGCTCTGATATTCGTGCATTACGAAAGAGCAAAAATCTCTCATCATCCAGTCCTGACCCACCTTCTCTTAATGTCCGCGGAAATCTATACATACTCGTCCAACTTCACAAAATACTGCAAAGAAGACCCCACCATCACCATGCTGGCATTGTGGCGCGTGGCACTTTGTAAAGTCTTGTCCATACAAAAATCATCGTTGCAGCAAGTGCAAAATCATCGGTCATAAAAATGGTTTTTGTCAGCCACGCAAACCCAGATGTCAAAATCCAGCGAAAGCTCGACAAACTGTTGGTCCTAAATCCCCAAAAAGTCATTGAGTCTACGCGCAACCCGTCAAGTCACAACACCAGCTATGCGGAAATATCTTGATCTTCAGATGAATGGTCATGATACACGTCTGCAGCTAGATACCGCCTCTGATATTACTGTTATATCAGAGAAACTTTGGAATAATATTGGCAGACCACCTATCACCAATACTTCCCAGTCTCTTCTCAGCGCCTGTGGTGGGCGGCTCAAACTAATTGGTGAACTCAAATGTTCTGTTTCCTTCCGCAATACCAAATTCACAGGAATTTGCTACGTCACCAAGAGTGATTTAAATCTTTTGGGACTTGATTGGTTCGATCGTTTGCATCTGGCTGATGTCCCACTAAATTCGCTATGCAATGCAGTCAAGAAGCATAAAATGTAGACAATTCCGGACGAAGCCGAAGCCGCAAACCCAACAGTCAGACGAAACGACAGGCGTCAACAACAAGCCCAAAGGTCCCAGATAAACCCCCAGGTAAACATCCTACTAATCATCCATCTTCTCAAAAGGGGAGGTGATATGTATCCACATATATATATATTTAGGTGTGTGTATGCATGTTGGTCTCTCTTTCTGTTTGCTCGCTTAGTCTGTGACCATTTCACTTGTGTGAACTTGTCTCCTTTATTAATGTGTATTCTCCTTATATTATATTATATATAATATGAGTGTTTGTTGACAGTCCGTTGCTTAGTGACATATATCCATATATGGTGGTTTGACATGTCTGCTATATATATTTTGTCATATATATATATATATATCGTTCACACATTCTGTGTGAACTACTTTACTTACTTACCACTTTGGTGTGAGACCATTTATTTTCGTCTCCTTGTGTTTGGACAATAGAAGTATCATCGCAAACCTAGTGGTCTTCTGATTTCCGCCTTCTCGCGTCAGGACTATTAGTTTCTCGACCAGTCCATAACAATAATTTAGCGACGAGTACATAACAGTTGGTTGGCTAGGTTAAGGGTAGACATCTTTCGATGAATTTGCATGGATGTCGATTTTTATCGATGAAAGCCATGAGATGTTTCTCTTCGATTCTCTTTAAGCCAAGAATTTGGCAAATGAGTTCTGGCTATTCTGAATAATGTCTGTATGCAACACTCCTTTTGTGTTCTGTTGGGTTGTTGGTGTTCTAAAATGTAGTATTTGATCTGTATCTTTGAATTTCTAAGTTTCCTGTGGTTGTTTGCTTGGCTAACACGTCTAGAAGTGGAATTTCATTCTTGATTTCCTGTTGTCTGCTGAACACATAGATAATAACATTGCTCAGGTCAGATAAACTGTAAATGACCAACCTTACCGCGCTACTACTACTACAAAAATAAACTTCCTATTCTTAGAAATATAATTAAAATGCCAACACTGAAAAACGGTTGAAAATGTTCAACAGTATATACTTATAAATTTCATAAAATCAATTAATTAAATATTTACCTAATCGATATTATTTAATACAATTTGAAATTATCACAAAAATAAAGAAAAAAAACTTAAATGAGACTATTTGAGGGACCAAGTCTTTTCCGATTTTGGGGTTCACCATACTGGATCTAACCCAATCCTCAATGCATAAGTGTGCGTATTTGGTAGATGGTGTTTCTCACTGAGAGTCGATCCCAGCCAGCCGCCGTTGCTTCATAATACCCAAGTAAGTCTCTGTAGGAACAGCATCACTTGCCAGTTGATAAGTGCCAGATAGAATGAAACACACCTCTTGAGTTTGGCTGCCAGCACTTACTATTAACTCTGTGTCGAATCATGTTCACTATCAGACATCGTCAAAATATCTATCCCGAGAAGCACCGATTTTTCAGTAGAGACACCGAGTATTTCCATCTGATATTGATTGTAATCAGTCAATGGGAAGTAGGAAGTTAATTCAAACGTCTTTAGTTATTTGGTTGAGAAGAAAGGATTAAAACTACTGCTAAGTTTTTCACTCCACATACATACACACAAAAGGCTAAACATAATTGTATACGATATCACAGGTACATTTCCGCAAGTGTCACAGATAATCATTGCAGCTAAACTGATCAATACTGCTGAGTTACGAATATGTGGATGGATGCTCCGATCAACGTAGCGAAATGCTCAACTATGCATATTGGACATACAAGCATCAGCTCCTACGAACTAGAGCGCATAACATCCCCATCATTTCAGACTCATTTGGATTTAGGTGTCACACACTGTCCCCTTATGGCAGCACGTAGTTTGGGACCGCTTAGCTGGATGTCTCTGTATTCGCAGTGAGTGAGTGATTTCCTCCTCAGTGATACTGGAACCCAGTAACCTCTGTTTGAAATACAAAAGAGTTATCCACTAGGAGCTTCTGCGCAGAACCTTTCCTCCAATAATCAGTTATCACTATTATTATTATCCAGACACACAGAATATCCGGGGTTCGACTCCTGACTAATGCACTCCTAAGCCACATTTAGTCAGTAGTAAGCCAGGAAGAAAGGAAAAGTTTCACGAGAGGCTAGCCAATCTACAACATTAAAATATCATGGCTACTAATGATATGTTAAAGCCTGAAGCCCGCAGTAGGAATTCAAAGAAATAATGAATTCAGTAGCATTTCATTCGGTTCTTTCCAATCACTTTCAATAGATTCCCCAGACCTCACATGATCTTTTCCATGTTCAACTGGTTGCTTCTAATTCGTGTTCTACTCGAAAGGTCTTTCTTGTATGTGGTGTCAACTGAGTGTTTCCTTCTCAGTACTATCTCTAATCCATCCATCTCTATTTCGCGCTGTATATTTATTGGTTGCACAATAAATTTTGGTTGACTGGTTCGCTTCGCTGTCAGTCCTTCTTATTGCATCTCCTTACTGGTCGATTAAAATAACTAGCGATGGATAATTAACTGTGACAACCAACCCATTTACAGGTTTATCTTATAATAATGAGGTACGCAGAAAATTCACTTGCATACAGCCCACATTAATTATAATAATGATAATAATTAATAAATTTACAGAATGATGTAATCCGTGCCCTGTTGTTTTGGTAACTAGTCGAATATTTTCATCCTGCCTACATCCAATATAAATATATTGACAGCTGTTGAGAAAGATGGGTAAGATAAGTGCATGGATAATATACTGGATTTTTTATTTATACGTGTATGAAACTATCTTCGCAGTGAACGCAGGGGGAAGACAAGGCTGCTTACTGTCCATAGATAATTTTTGTGATTGCGGTTGACTGGATCACGCGGGTGACCTTGGGAAGTAAGGAAACAGGCATACGCTGGACTGGTAAGGCAACCCTAGAAGATCTAGGTTAATTTATGTCTCACATAGCAAAATTTCAAAGATTTTCATACAGAAAAACACATTCGTTTAAGAAAGAGAGGGAATAAATGGCTTCCGGTGAATATAGGTAAGACAGAGATGATGAAGATCCACGGCTGCCAACAACATACCCTATCTTCAATGAGGGAAATCTAAGGAGAGTCACCTCTTTCACCTACTCGTCTAGGCAACACAGATGAGGATGGTAAAGTCAGTCAGGATAGCATCAGGAAAGCAGAAAACACGTTGGTTACTCTAACGTTGGTGTGCAGACCAAAAGTACATAGTACAAGAAAAAAGATCCGAGTATTCCTAAGCACTACTATCAGCTTAGTTGGTGTTTCTATATGGTTCAGAAACTTGGTGTGTGCATCAACAAAAGCTTTTCCAAAAAGCTTCTCTATGCTTGCAGTAATACCTGCACCTTTGATACTAAAAATAAGATGGTCAGGCAGAATGAATAACCAGTAAAGAACTTTGGTATTGCAGTTAACCAACCACAACTACGTAGAAGGAAATGGACATTGACTGAACGTTGGCTGAGGAGAGACACTGAAGTAACATCACAGAGTAGTCAGGCTGTTGAGTAGAACCTGAATAGCACAAGTGATAATTTGGACTCTCTGATTCAAGTGTATCATGAAGGAGGTCATATGTGGGTGTGTGGGGGGAGAGGAGGAGAAGAAAACTACAGATTGTGGGCAGTTATGAAGCCAGTTGGATCAACAGCGATGGAGATATTCTGCTGAGGCCATATTTTCCACTTGGCTCACAAGTAAAGAATCATAACAAATTGAAATGAAGTCTCACTCAGTACCTATTTGAACTTCGACACAGGTGGCGACGCATCACACATCACGGGTGAGAAGTAGTGATACTATCCACTATTTAGAATGTCAAATTTCTCTAGGTCGAATAGAATTTCGAACCGAACACCCACTGACTGGGGGTGTATGCCGTCTATTTTGTTTAGCTGTCTTTTCACTTTACTGCCTTGAAACAACTTGTTGATCATAAGTCAAGAAATAAAAAGATTCATTTCAGGCTGATGTGATTTCAAAGACTGAGAAATCAATAGGTGAAGAGTTTCCTTTTGAATAACTGCCTCTTCGTCAGGTCCTACAGTGAAATGTACATAATAATTAAAAGAATAAAACTGACTCAACAACGCTGACAGATTAGAGTACAAAAGTGTCAGTAAGTGTTAATAGTGAACCAATATAACACCTAACTGCATATTAGACAAATTAGGGAAAAATAATACAGAGATGTTGGATTTATAGATTCTACAGCAGGCCAGGGTAGAAATTATGGCTGCACTTGTTTCTTTCGCACACACAACTCCAGTGTTCTTAAGCGAATTACTTTGGCCTCTGAAGTTTTGAGTGCTCAGTACCCAACGGGCCGTTGATAATTTCTTTGGTACCCAACAGATGATATGAGGATAATTTTCAATGCTAGCTTCATGGCCCACTTGAACGAGGTGACCTAATATCGAACTGTCTATGGTTTTTTGTACACATTTTTTTTGGCCACACTAGTCAGTGTTCTCGAGCTCAAAAAACGAACTTCCTAGAGCAATGGCCAATGTAACTGACTCCAGAAGAGCAGTGGAAGTGATAAATACAGGAAGAGGTGACTAGTCTAAGTACTTCTTCCATAAGTTTAGGAATCCCAACTATTCATGTGGAAAATATGATATATAAAGTACCAGGATTAAAAATTCTTTGGATGAATTTTTTCAACTTACATGTTGTATTACTTCACTATGTATGTTGCCTTTGAACTGTACTCACATGTATACGAAGGTTTCGTGTTTGCGAATGCAGAATAGCTCCTTATCGACTTTCTTTGTTAAACTCTATAATTAGTATCTTAATTTATCCAATCTTCTATTGATGCATATCATCACTTCCGAAATGCAATCTGAGATGTCATTGTTGATTCAGTGGTATTTAGAGAGGGAAATTATTGCTGTATTTATAACAATAATTCTCGAATTATTATGGGCAAATAAAGTTGTACAACCTGATAAATAGGGAGTCATCTAAAAGTCATCTCTTTGTTCACTAATCTCTAAGTCTTTTGAGATTTGTTATTATTATTATTATTGGCCATCTTTAATTTACTATTTAGTTTTTGTTTGTTTTTAAAACAAATTACCTTGTAATAAACGTATTTGACATTAATCAAGCATATCTTTACAATACTGAATAGTTTCTTTGATGTTTAATCATTCAGGATATTTGGCTTTATAATTTTCTTTTAATGCTTGAATTTGTTGCAACAGATTATATTCTTCCTCTGTTATGATTGATTGATTTTCCACAGTTTGAATTAATCCTGAATACACAAACAGAGATTCAATAGGCAAACATATAATGTGATAGTCTTTTCGTATACAATTGGTGGATGGTGGCTAGCAGTGGAATTGATAGTCTTTTCTCCTATTATATGGTTTAATAATGATGAGGGATATTAGATGGTTACAGGTAAGTAGGATGGATGTGA